CTTTGAATGGGTGGGGATTTGGGAAGGAGATTTGGGGGCGAAGAGGTAGCCTTCGACAACTGATTCGGGGGAAGGACAGATAGGAAGAGGAGGAAGAATAGTGTGGTTGTTGGTTAGGTTTTGGGTTCGGTTTTGTGTTTGGTGGGCGGGCAGCTAGATTTCCAATTTGGTAGTGGTAGCGCGGGTAGCAAACCCACGCTACTACTAAGATGGGCCCATCAATGGATTTCATGGACCTATAGTAGTAGCGCGGTTTGTACCTCACATGCTACAACTATTTTCTTAGTAGTATGATATGTGGTACAACCCACGCTACCACGGCTTGTCCGCGGGACACGGTTGAAGATATTTAATAGTACCGTGTTTCTTTGGGTCACCCGCTAGCACGGGTCTGCGGGCAACGCTACGTAAGTAGCAGTAGCACACGATCAATATAACACACCATTAGTAAATGATTGTCTATAACCTTTTTCCTAATAGTATTATATTATGAAGAGAGAACTATCATGTTGTACCATGTTGTGAAGAAAGAATTACTACGCTACGATAATACAGAAACTTGTCATGTGTTCGGGCGTTGCCATGTTGTGACATAGAAAATGCGAGTGTCTATTTTCCATTCCACTGAAATAGAATTCGCCTTCATTTAAATTTCGGTTTGTCTAAGGCACATCTAGACAGTGGTGGAGACCAGGGTCTGTATGTAGTTTATCTGCAGCGTTCGGAATTACTCCGGTGAACCAATCCGTGGTTGTATGATTAGGTGGACAGTGGTATCCCAGCCCATCAGGGTTCAAGTCCCGATACTAGCATTTATCCTGGATTTATTTTAGAATTTTCTACGATGCGTTTTTAGTGAGAGGAGACGTTTCCGTCGACTACGAAGCGCCCACGATGACTTCATAAAATCTCAAGAGAATATGCCAGCTCAGTCTCTCGGAGGTGCTTATAAGGGTAGGGTGTACATTCATTGTGGTGAATGTATGCGCGCGTATATAAGCGCTATTGTCTGTGCTGTGTTAAAAACAAAAATTCACACCGCAATGCACAACGCTGGTACCGATGACGTGCACCTGTGGCTTGTTCACGGACTCACTGATTTGACATACCCCATCAGCTTTGTGCCAAGTCTGTTTTGCACTCAAGATGTGACATAACACATCACCTTTGTTCTCAAGATTCTTGCATACTTTAGCTGTGTAGCCCTTTTTCCATACTGGAACACCACCAGCACCGGCTAGGTAGCACCATGTACTGGCCCTTTCACATCACCTGTAGATGAGTGAGCAGTGGCGTTGTGACAGGCACCAGAGGCCTTTGAACAGTTGGATATGTATCCTTCCAAGAGATTGAGCAATCTCTCCTAGACATTGGGTTCTCTTCACTTCTTCCAATGAATCCACATGTCCACTAAAAAAGAACCCTACGAATCCATGTACATGTGCTCATTACCTGTCACTCTGTTACTTGATTCTATGTGTGTAGGTTATATCCCGTTGTTCAGACATTTTACTACGTGCTCATGGTTGTGGCTTTAAGTAAACAACATCTAAAATTGGGGATGGAGTTCAGTTACTCTTACATATCTCAGTTAGCTTGTCTACAAGTACGAGCTACTAGTTTGCTTGCTTATGTGTACATAAATTCATCTCTAGTGGTTATAGTTTTTTTTTAGAACGAAGGCTCGAGGATGAACTCGGCTTTGAATTAACAAAGCCATCAACCGGCCAGGCATTACAGCCAACAAGTGCCAGCCCAACGCCACTTATAGAGAAAATAAAACAGGAGTAGCCCAAACATACATGGGTGCTGAAGATTGCTAGCGGTTGTTGACGAGCAGGATGACAATCACAACAGGTTGAATGGTACGACCCCGCGCTCACATGATGCCCCCCATCTACTGCTTTTTGCGTGCTCATTTGTTCCCTCTCATCTTTGGTTTCCTATCAGGAACATACTTTAGACTGACCCCTTTTTAATGAACAGACAGCGTGCAGCTACGGTCTGCGGAATTAAATAATTATATCGACCTTTGAGATGAAAGCAAAGCATCTTCACGCATTGTATGGTCATCATTATAAAATAATGTAAATAAAATTTACCTAAGTTGATGCACTATATCTTCTAGCACTTCATTTCCCACTTGTGTTCCCATTCAATGTTCTGTGCCCTCCAATCGTAACGACCCTTGCCCATATTGCTCAGCCTGCAAATTATGTAGCAAAGTGTCAATTTAGTACATTAAAGAAGACACTAACTATTTAGGGAGGTCACATCTTACTTATGGGTTTCCTTCGTCTATACATCTTGGAAAAGGTGGTGGAATATCCTAATAGAGACCGAACTGTCTCATGACACGCTCTGGGTTGTAAGGCTCAACACACCACATGAATAATAAGTTGCAGCTAGTCAGCCAGAATGCACTATCGCTCATGCATCCGGTTGTGATGGGTCGTATATCGAAGTCATCTGTAACTACTCCTGAGTCCACGAGTTCCATGTGACTAGTGACCCATCAAGCATCTCAAATTGTTGGTGGTGTATAGGGTAACAACATTTCGCAATATATGGAGACCATTTTTTCCGTGCCTTTGTCCACCTGCTGGCCATAGTTACATTGCCCTCGCTACAGTCGTATCAATGTATGGGATTTAGTATACGAGGTCGTCAACAGGGAGGTATTCCCAGGACCATAACTATAGAAACTCATAGGTGACACAAAGTAACGGAGCTTTTTCTGCGAACGAAGTTTTCTGTGTGGCATCACACAAGCCTCTATATGTATGAGATAGCATGGCAAAATCAAAGTTGTATTTTTGATGCTGAAGTAAAGATTCATCTACCATATTCTCTACAAAGTAGACGAGACCAGGGAGAACTACGTCCCAGTGTGAATTTGGAAACATAGTCCCGATGAGCCACAACAAATACGTAAACAGATGTATTTTCCTCATCTGATAATCAGCGTGGTTAGGTAAACAATTAAAGTTTGCACGAAGCTAGGCGAGTGGGACGCCCCAATTGCCACCAGAACGTTGTGATTCTGGCATTGTCATCCCAAGACGGACTGAGAT